TTGGCAAAATATGGCACCGGTCCGAGCTTCTGGATAGGTGCTGCAAAAATTATCGCACTCAGCTTCTAAATAATTTAACGACTGGATTGTTACGGTTTGCGGCATTTGCGACGGTTGTTTAAACTGTCGTTTACTTCTTAGTGCGTATACCCTCTCTATTCATTTTTAGCGAACGCTGCTCCTATTTTTGGAAGTGGCTTTGGACCGGGGAGGAATAGAACCACTCCTCTTCACATCCGAGCGCAATATACTAGATCGGTCCTTGGGCTTCATGCGCCTGTTGGGGCTCCATATCCTTATAGCACTACATACATGCCTTACCCTGTACAACACACGTCCTTCCAACAATTGCCAGCTTTTCGCAGGACTTCCACGATGCTCCTCTGAAAGAGATAAACACCGGAAACAGCTCAACAAGTAGTGAGTGCCAATAGTAATCCTCTGGTAAGGTTATCAATGACTGCCTCTTTCAGGGATTACTTGGAAACAAGCTGGTGGCGGTTTTGACCCTTTAATGCATTCCAGTACCTAAGTGCAACTTATGATGCATTGATTCCGTTGCAAATAAGAGAGAATGAAGCCATGTGAGTGCTACAGTGGGGAGGTAGAATGAATTACCAAGATTCTAAGTTTGTAGCTACCGAGGCAAAAGCAGAGGACGGAAATTACTGCTGGAGATTATCATCAAGGATATCTTGAAACCAAGTGTTGCTCTAATGATTTTCATGTGTGAAAATTTGACGAACTTAATAGTCCAAAAAACTTTAATGATTTAAGCGTTTAAGTTAGGATACTTGCTAAGGAAGCAAACTTGCCATCAGTTTGTTTGTAAGCAACTTTCGAAAGAGGAAGCCATCGAAAAATTTGCCAGCGAATGCCTGCTATTGGCATTTGCTGCCACTGGGGCTGCATCCCAGATACCTCCGTCTCTTACTGAGAGCGAAAATGGAAAGGGTTTCAAAATACACATCAGCACTTATTTCGTGAATAGATTAAAAACTAACCTCAACGAAATCATTCCTTGCTTTTGTTCGTGGACGCCGCATGCTGGATCGGTGAAAAGTTTCCGTCTAGAAAGCTGTTCACAGTGCTCACCCTCGAAACCATATCCACAGACGCATTTGCAATTGGCATTGACTGAACCACCATTCTCGCATTCGGTACCACATCGGTCTGCAAAAATAGAGTTTGGACACGGTCGCAACGAGGGAATAGTTATTTATTTTCATCCAAAAAATAAAAAAAGCATCGAAATTTTTTTCGAAAATGCCCGCGCTGCGTTTTGTGGGAAAAGTTCGCGTTTTTTCTCTCGAGCACACTTGGTTTTAACGATTTTGAAGTCTGAAAGATAATAGAAGCTTCTGGCACTCCAGACAGACGTCAGTTCTCATCTTTCCCGTACTTTCTGTTGATACTGGTAATAAACGAAATGATTTTTGAACAGCTGGGCGCATTGGTCATAATTTTTGATGATTGACTGCGCTTGGACGGTGGAAGTGCTCTCAATTAGCAGTGCAGGGCTGCATAATGAGATGAATTGGGCGCTGACCTCTGTGTCAATTGGGTTTATAGGATCTGTGATTTGGTGGAAAGGGGCCTGATGATGTAATGGCGCATTCATTCCAGCCAATTTATTTAGCACTTGTCGGAGCTCCTGGCCGGAAAACAGGCACCCCTGAATCTCTTGTCCATTCGAACTCTTTCTTAAGCAGAAGGAGGAAATTGCTTTACTCGCGGAAGCCACTTCCCCTTTTGTCCTGTCTCACAACAAATATAAGCCCTGCACGAACATCTTTGTCGCATTAACGGGAAGAAGCCTTCCGGAGTAGAAGTAGAAAAGTTGCAAAAGCTGCGACTTTTTCGTGCAAAACTAAAGTGAAAATTTTCTGTTGTGATTACTCTGAATAGCCCAAGTTGTTTTTTTTTGGTAATTTCGATTTTACTCACACATATGCGAGTCGTAACATTTTTAGGTTTCAAGTCAAAGTCTTTTCCCTTTGCACCCATTCTTTGTGACAGGCCAAGATACTTGAGAGTAAGGAATTGCCCTTTAAAATTTCAGCTTCCTAGCTTCACCAGTTGTTGAACTGAAAATGAATGACAAAGTTTTTTTCATTTCTCGAAAACACATGCACGCAGACAGCCTTTTGAAAATATGCGTTTTCGCAAGTGCAAAAATGCGCAAAACACACTAAGAAAATTAGGCTTTCCTTTTTCAGCTCTTTTCAATTTTTCTCAGAAAAGAGAGACTGGAAAGGGATATAAGCAAGATATTGGATCTAATTCTGTCCGCGACAATAGGTGGACATGTGTCATGCCCGTTATAGCTGTTTCATGGATGATTAGATAATTACAGCTCTGGACATAATAAAAACCGGTAGTGTCTGGAAAGGTCAGAGGTTGACGGCAATTATCGTGTACGGGAGTACCTGTACAGTTGTAAGCCGCATTGATCAGGCTTGTTACATGGGAACGGATCGGTGCTGGCGCCGCTATAGACAAGGCGTGCGAAAGTACCACTACACAAGCGTCTTCTGACCACATGGACGACAGTGCCAGTTGCGATGATGATGATGATAATGATGATGGTGGTAACGATGATTCCTGAAACGGTTATTTGAAATTACTTTCGTAGGCAGTCTGAGCAAGTTTTACTTGTTTTTTTTCATATTATCAAGAATAGTAAGAATGTGGATATGTGATGTTACTGAAATGCTCTCATACGCCAAGTGCAGCGCGTCAGGCCGTCCGATCCTGAACTATGTAATTTCTGTTGGAACCCATTGTCTGTTTTTGTGTGAAAGTAGAAAAAAACACTTACGCTTAAGCAGTTCTCATTCAAATGCATTGTTCGATTGGATTTCTGCCAAAAACAGCGACTGAAATTGGCGAAAAATTTTGCTGTCAAATTTCAAGAAATAGTGAAGAAA